AACAAGTGCATCGCTAGTAGTAACAAGTGCATCGCTAGTAGTAACAAGTGCCTTACTGGTAGTAACAAGAAGCTATTAGGAACAAGTGCATCGCTAGTAGTAACAAGTGCATCGCTAGTAGTAACAAGTGCCTTACTGGTAGTAACAAGAAGCAATATAAGTAAGTCTTTGTACTCATAGCAATGGCCTCCACCCTAATAGAGATGGCCTCCACCCTTGTAGCGATGGCCTCCACCCTTGTAGCGATGGCCTACCCTAGTAGCGATGGGGACAATATAAGTACATCTTTTTACTTGCAGAAGTTGGGTGATGAAGCAACTTTGGTGGTGGCAAAATGTATCAAACTCCTCTATTGGTCTGACAAGCACTGAAATGAGGGCGAATTCGTTTTTGTATTGCACATCACCAACCAACCAGCTAACCAACTCTGCGAAAAGCTACAGTTTGATGCGACTCAGGGAACCCTGTAGCCGCGTAGCCGACCTTCTCAGGTGCCAAGAAGGCGCCGTGGACTGCCACCAGCCCAGTGAGAAGCGCCACACACGCCTGGCTGGCTGGTGCAGGAATTGGTTGGATGGAATCAATGATTGTTTTGCATACACACATATGTTTAAAATGTGTGCTCCACGACAAGGGTAATTGTATATACAGTATATATTATATACATTATAGATAAACAAATAAATATAGATATTATGAAATGACATATTCCTGGTACGAGTACGAGTATACAATTACTCAGTTTGATTGCCATGTCCTAGCTGTTCGAGAGGCCTTGCATAGCATTTCTTCATCTAACAAACACAAATTCTGGACGGCACCTGATTCTTCGTTCATTGGCTCAACAAGTTTTCACGACCCAAACTCGGTGCCCGGGACAGCGGGCCTTCATGTTGGATCAAGCCGACCAGCACTTCATTTGGCCATGGCCCCGTGGTCGGGGCAACTGAACCATCCATGGTTGCGCCAGAAAATATGTCGATTGTCGGAGCGGCTGATGCTGCTACAGGATTCTCTTCAAACACCCTGGGTTACATCACCACTCAGTATCAGGATCTTGGGGGAGAACACTGACGGGATTCTATAGTTTCTATGGGGCCAAAGACCCGACCTTGACTTGTTCTTTGGCTATTCCAGGCCCACGAATTCACCTCTTTTCATTGAAACAAACTACCATGATGGCAAAATACAGAAGCGACCATACAGTAGCAGCTCTTCTTGGGTTTGTGGGGTTTGAACATCCATTTGGTGTCCCTCCTTGCACCGCTGCACCACAGGCAGACGTTCTTTTGCCCTCCTTTTTCGCGCGCAGACCTCATGAGGGATGTCCTTACTGGCGGATCTTCACGGGCCTGCGGGGTGGGTTTGAGAGTCAAATGGACTCTCTGGACAGCTGAAGGCTGAAGTGACTTAGCAGTATTCAGAATATAACTTGGGTTGCTGCTCCCGCCAACGACAGATGAAAGGCATCGCCAACCAAAGTGTTCATGAATCAAGCAAAGGGTTACTGTTGCTTAATAGGCCAGTCATCAAGTCTGAAAGTCCAGCACAAGAGTACAATAGATCCTCTTTGTTATAGTCGGGCAACTTCTGGGCTTGTTGGCAGGGAAGTCTGCCAGTCTTGCAGCGGTGGACCTTGAGGGCGTCCCTGGAAACCACTGATACAGTGATGTCTGAATCAAAGCTCCACTAAGGGCGGTGTAACATATGGGATGGGGAAGGCGGACACGGCTGTCCAGTCCTCTAAAATCTTTACAACGAAACACATTGGCTCACTGATCTCACTGTCCTCGATTTGTCTGGAAGTCAAAGCCAAATTGAGATTGGTCATGCCTTCAACTGAAGTCCATGTTGCTGAAATGAACTCGGAATGACCATTTCAGGAGATTGTGTCTGGAGGAGATTGTCAAGAATAAAATTGCTACTGTAGTGCCACTCGACCAACCATGTTCACATGCCTAGCAGAGCTTGTTGATCTTAATGTACAAGCATGGGCCTTATATTCACCCTCTCATCCGACCCAAGTTCAGGAATCACTGCTTGCACATCACTCCTGCTACATCATCTGGTGCCCTTTATCCTCCCAGCATCACAGCGGACATCCTGTCCTTCTGGGCAAGCCATGCCGTGACATCACCCTTCGCCCTCGGATTTCGGTTGAGCTCAAGGAAACGGGCCAAGAAATGGACAAGGAGTCAAGGAGGGAACAATGAGAATCCATCTGCTTGGAACTGTTGGCAAAAGATACAAACCGTCCTTGCTGGCAACCGTCCGATGGTAGGTGGCTGCACGTTTGTTCATCGAACGGCCGGCCCATGACAAGTTCTTCTTCCTCCCCCTTTGCTTTAGCATCCAATATTCTGACAGCATTTTCTTCTTCTTCCTCCCCCTCTGCTTTAGCATCCAAATCAAAGGTGAATAAGAAAACTGAGAGCATCTTCATCTTCTTCCTCCCTCTCTTCTTTAGGATCAAACTCAAAACCATTAGCGTCATCTTCTTCCTCCCCCTCTTTTTCTGTCAAAATCAAAATCATTAGCGTCATCTTCTTCCTCCCCCTCTTCTTTAGTATCAAAAGCAAAATAATACGCGTCATCTTCTTCCTCCCCCTC